GTTTTATTTATTTTGTTGTGTGTGTGTGTGTGTGTGTGTGTGTGTGTGTGTGTGTGTGGCTCATATGTTATCATGTACCCTGCATGTAGCCAAAGTTATAGAATCACAAGCAACTTCGTACGTAGTTTAGAAAAATTCATTTAAAAAGCCAATATGGTCGTACTCTATCGGTAATTATGTTTAGAAACCCCTAAGTCAGTGGTTCCCAACCTGGGGTCCGCGAAGATAAACATCTCATTAAACAAGTAAGTTTTTTAATACTGCTGTTTTTTATTCGATAGTGGAAAATGTGAAAACGAGTTCATTATTAGTTAATAAAAACATTTTGTTGGGTAGACGGAATCTTACAAAACATGGGATCCGTGGGGAATAATAATAATAACAGGGGTCGTAGGTGGTGAAAAGGTTGGGAACGACTCCCTAAGTCTGCCATCACTCACTTAAGAAACGAAGCTGACTGTCGAACACAATACTTCCAATACTAAATTGTAAAATTCGTGCCGTTCCTTATGATAATATGAATATCGAATCGTTGTGATTTTTCAACAATGTGCAGAATTATACTTGGCCAATAAACAGCCACATTGGTGAATTAAAAGATCCAGCAAAAATATTTTGATTAGAATTTCATGTAAATCAACAGTCTACATGAAATCTCGATTTATTAGTGAACTTATATAATAAAATAAATAAAAAATAATTCATGCAAAATTTTTGCAAGGCATAAATCAAACAAACGCCGAAACACAGGTAATTTAAAAATGAATTTATAGTGATGCAGTTCATATACCTTTTCAAGATTTTAATTTAAGCAAAACAAAAATCAATATATAAAAAATAATCAACATCATTATGTAATCTGTGTTTTCACGGCAAATTTCACAGACAACAATAAACTTAGAAAACCCGAGTGAAAGAGTTTGCTTGCTGTAATTTACTACACACTCGTAAAGATGTCTAAAAACGTGTACATAAACAGTGTTTTAACAGAAGAAATATTAAGATATTCGCCTGAGTATTACAGAAAACTACATATTAGAAATTCTAAGTACTTATGAACAAAAATAAAGAATATGTAATAATATGTCAACCGCACTATATTTGCCATATTCAGTGCCGACGAGGCCTTTCGCCTAATACCAGGGCTCATCAAGCCAGCTGGAATACGACAGGCACTATTTATATCATCAGTTTTCATGAACAACGAATGTTATGTTATGACTTTGATTAAGTAAATGATTCGTAATTATTATAAATGTAATTTTAAGTCATTTACAAAAAAATTCTGTAAGGGTAAATAACAAAATACTTTTTAACAACGATTATTTATCTATGATTATTATTTTATTTAAATTTATTTTCATTCAGGAGAACTGGTGAACCAACAGTACGAGTTACACAAAGCTTTTAATAGTTAACAACTTTGTATATCAATTCATCTTGGAGAATTTTTATGCGAATAACGGTAAGTCAATTATTTTACAAGTCGAAAAAATTAGTAATCTAGAGGCAAGCCCAACTATGACAGTAATTCTGAAATCATAAATACACGTATATACCCAGGATCAAAACTACCAATGAAAAAGTTCACACAGCTTTCCTATTTTGAAACGTCTATTATGTATCTCTTTATCATACCAACCACAAGTGAAAACCAGAGATTCTATGGCTTAATATTTGCTTATGACTATTCTTTGATAAATCAAATGTGGATCGAGATATCTCCTATTTTAGATGTACAACAGATTCACTACCATCAAGGCATTTATACATGACATCAGGTAAAAAAACAAACATTATAAAACAACTTATGATGATGTACACGCTTCCATTGCAACTCAAAACATTTATGTGGCATATATGGTCAAGTTGTATATGTACATTATATATATATATATATATTATATTTCTTCCAAGATATCGAATATATGTGATTTTTCTCAACATAGCCACAAATCTAAACTAGGATGAGAAAATCACAAGTATAGATTTTTGTGGAAAATATTTTTTCTAACGGAAAAATATACCAAGAAACAAAATTTTCCAATAGTTTCAATACATGTTGACACGCAAGTACTTATTCTTGTTTATACAAAATTAATGTTGATGTTTATTAGTTTAAAAGACTAAGAAAAAATAGTATTGCTATTTTAAAATTACAGATATTAGCAGACACGCCGCCCTACGGGCGGTTGTTTGTGCTAGTAATTACTAATCGTAGTATTCATACCTCATTCTAAAATAAGTAAACATTTTCTAAAAAAAGGATTTTTTTTCTGAGAAAAGTGTTCGGATTGCGCTCTTTGGTCATATGTAACTTATTGCATCAAAATGATTCAATGTACAAAGCTCAAAATTTTCTACTGATATAAACTGTAATGTTTTTATATATTAAACGTGGTACCGTTTACTGAAAAATAGTTTTTTAAGAACTCCACTTTCTCAATACTGCATTTAAAAATTACATCAATAAAGATATAATCAAACCCTCATGTACAGTCCGAATGAGAGTCGTGTTCTTGTTATGAGGAGAGTACTTTTATTTGAAATTGTGTTCTATTAAAAAGAAATGGTTGTTGCATATACCACAGTTATCTAATTGTCTGTATTTTGAATACCCAAAGTGTGAAATTTTTCTTGGATTTATTTTGTTTGTGGTGCCATTCAATAGATGGCGAAGGAGTTTTGGTTACAGACATAGATACTGATATACACGCTACATCCACAACAGTAACAAGAAGAAAATAGTTTACATGAAAATCCACGTAGAGGTATAACAAATTAATGGGGAATTGTAATTAACAATGTAGTGTGTAGAAAGGCTATACAATAAGCAAACCGCCATTCAGAACCACAAGTGATTTAATACACGTACATGTCCTGAGACAGAAACCACTATCATTGAATATACAATTAAAGGGCGAAAAATTAATTTCTACAATCGTTATAAACTATGAAGAACACGCAAAGAAACTGCCCACCTACCTATATTTGGATGATTAAGCTTGCGACAAATTCGTGCTTCTCTTTCTAACTTCTGGAAATCTGAAACAAAATGCAAGGTCTTCATCAGCTTATGGGCACATTATAGTAATAATATAATAGTAATAATTCAATAAAAACAAAAATCAAAGCCAAACAACAATAATGGTCTACTGGAGAAATGAAATCAGTTCAAAAATTACATTCATGCAACAATTTCAGTTTCTTCATAGATAGCAAACATAGATGATTTTTCTCAAATAGCCACAATCCTACTCAACAGGATCACAGAACTAGACCCATATCCTGGAGCTTGTTGGTAACATCTGAACATTATACATTACGTTCACTACATTTACAAGAACGGAACCTTTCACACATCAAACGAAGTGTTACGTACTCCTTTAAGTCTAGCTCTCCAAACTTTGAAGTCACTAACACAACATTTTCTCCAATTCAATTATTCAGGAATTGGTAAATAAAATAACACAGTCTCGATTAACATAACAACTGAGGCAAATTAAATGAAACTGCATTAAAATATTAACAACTGACCTAATATATATATATATTATATGCTCATGTGTAAAACATGGTGAATTACATCACAAAACACATATCAAGTGAAGTTCTCTACCAAGCGAACGTTTCCATGTTTTGTATTGAAACTAACGTATAGCCTTTCAAAAATGATGGGGCAAGTACTACCACCCCCACTCCATAGTATACCCTAACCTCACATTTCATAGCTAACTGAAATAAATAAATTCTTCTAAATCAAACTTGACCAACAAAGAGGCAGAAAAGTGCAGTCGAGGCAGTCAGACGTCGGTAAATTCCTTTGTGAGTCAATCAAATTAAGATCATTCATGAAATGAGTTCGTGGTGTATTCATAGAATAATTATTGGTAAAAATCAGTTAGATTAACAACTTCTAATATATAGAAAAGCCAGTGCGCTTTGGTAACACAACGTTCCAACAATGGCCTTTATGTCATGTTGCTAGTTTTTGTTGTTGTTAGTCGTTGTCCTGAAAACATGAAATGTATAGATAACAAAACTGGAAAAATATTTGTTGATTTCTTAACTTAGAGTCTCCGTTGATTAAAGAGGTTTGTTTTTGTTTGCTTCTTTTATATTAAAAATGTTGGCGATATCACAGAAAAAGCTTAATTCAGAAACTATTTATGTTTAAAATTGAATCCATTATTTACTTTCATGATAAATTTTATGCACTTGGCTTTAGGCTGGGTGATCCCACACTACGTCTTTACTTTAGGCTTATTATATCAACACTCACTACACATATAAGGTTTCGCGGCACACACACACACACCCTCACGGCCCCCTTGCATACACACCCTCATCACTAAAATCGTAATGAGAAGACAGTAATCGAACTATTCTATCTGGATAAATATATAATGGTTTTATGGCTCCTCCTATTTCGAGAAATCAACCGTGACGTGACAAAAAATGACTTTTATATAGGTTACATATACTACCATAAAGTTAAATCCTGTAATAAGCAAACGTTTACAAGGGTTTTTGTATTGAAAGATACTATCTATGAATTTAAGTTCTGTAGGTAGAAATTATCTTTACGAAATAAATCTAATAAAAATCATAATTAATTTTATAGTATATTGCTGGTGTTTTTAAGGTATTTTATCGCTGTGAAAATTTACAGACAGGCATAAATCCTAACAAACGATACTGTACATTAAACCATCTATAAAAAATATTAATTCATAGTTCACCAAAATATATTGTAAATTACACCTAAACATCGTGAACATATATTTCCCAAATGTAATTATATATATTACAACAAAGTGAAAAACAAATCGCTTGTACATTAAAACAACCATGAATAATCTTTTTTCATTATTTTGAATCAATAGCTCCCAGGTGCTCATCGGTCACTCAGAGAGCTTATAAAATTGTAATTCGATACCCAGGACCACCGACAGTAATTTAAGACCCCCAGCATAATAGTCAATAATTCCCCTAGTACTGGACCGCTGTCAGTTATGACACTTTTATCTTATTAACAACTAGCTGGAATGCCGGTGCGTTGGGTGGGTGAAATAAAAACTTGTTTGTAATAAAGGATAGGAAATTGTGCTTGTATTTTTTTTTCTTAACATGATAAACATGAAAAGTGCAATAAAAATACATAAAGACATCAATACTGATTTTCAAGAATTCTATCAATATGAAATTAGATGGGGGATCCAACCCCCTTATGTCATCCTGTATCGCTGTGTCAAGTGGCGCTGATTTGGTAGTTTTTGTTTTTTTTAAATCAGATATAAAATTAGATGGTGGAGTCAACCCCCACCCCAAATTGATCTTCCTCGTGTCATCCTGTATCTATTTCGGTGCTGATTGATCAAGAAATGTGGAAACATACAAGGAACAGATACACACACATATTGACGTTTATTTATATAGAAGATGGGGGGTGTCCAACCTCCCAACCCCTTCATGACCTTCCTCATGTCATCCTATATCACTATGTCAAGTTTGGCGCTTATTGATCAAGAAATGTAAGAGAGTACAAAGAACAGACATGACATGAAATGACAGATATACGGCCATGTAATTTTCCCCAACACACACATTGCTTTATATAGCAGATAGCAGGGAAAATCGTAATTATTTCTTTTAACAAGTCGTAATTTAAATTAAAAACTTTTGTATTTTCATCCGCCCGAGCCCCTGGGCAGTTCTCCCTTTTGCACTACTTTTTTTCTTTTTCAATTTTACAGAGATATCGAGGCAACTCAAACACTCTCTTTGTTCATTAACTATGTGAAATTGATAATCTATGTGACTCTTAATGGCATCTTTTGCCGATATCATTTCATTAAAACCACTACAATTTCTTCAGAGAAAGTTTAAGGTTCAACGAATGAACAAATATTTTATTTCTAAATTAAGTTTACAGCACTTTGCCTACAGTTGTTGGACTCGGAAAAATCACTGGTACTGGAAGAAGGGAGAATATGCCCCCCCCCCCCCATTTACTCGTATAGGAGCCTGACCCCACAAAAAAAAAGTTTAAAAAAATTCGACCTTGACCTTGATCAGTGTATTTCTATATTTTCTGTATTTTTTTCCATACCATTACATATAATTGTTGAGATATCTACTTTGCTTTCTTTAATTTGGAGAACAGTTTCTTACTTCAGTGTATTGATTAATAAATAAAGGCAATACTTCTTATGACGCGAACATTTATTTCTGTGAAAAAAATAAAATAAAACTTTGAATAGTTTCAAACTTCACAAATCTCCGGGTTCTAAAAACGGACTAGTCTGGGAGTTTTAAAATATTTCTAAGATAATTATAACGAATCTTTTATTCTACATCTATAATGGTCGAAATATTAATAACCCTGCATTTTCGAACTATGAATATATTCTGTTTAAGTTGTGAAAGTTCTAATAAATACCCGGCTGATTTTCCCCCCAAGAATCTTGGTTTTGTTGGTTTGTAATTAAGCACAAAGCTACACAATGGGCTATCTGTCCACTGCCCACCACGGGTATCGAAACCCTGTTTCCAGCGTTCTGAGTCCACAGACATACTGCAGTGCCACTGGGGTGGGGGGTGGGGGCAATATCAGAATTTTTTATCAGAATGAGTGCAATTCAGGTAAACTTTTAATTTTATTGGTTTCTGGTTCATCCACACACATATATATTACATTCCTGCTCAAACAGTCTCGGGGTATATGTCATGCTGGTTTGGTCACAATACCCATTGTTTATTTGTTTGTAACAAACCACAAAGCTACACAAGGGGCTATCTGTGCTCTGCCCACTACGGGTAACGAAACCCGGTTGTTGCGTTGCGAGTCCGCAGACATACCGCTGTACCACTTGGTGGCGTTACAATAGATTTAATTGAAAATTTCTCTTTCAGACTCTCGTAAGTATATGCTGTGTTTCATACATTTAATGTCAAAAACAACATTTCTGAGCTAAGCCCTTCATCCGAATGTAGTCTGTACAGGAATCGTTAGAACTTTAAACAACTGTAGTTATATCAGATATCATGTTTTTGTCCTTCTCTTGTACGCATTCTGCCTTTCTCATAGCCACCAGTCACTTTGTGATTTTTTTCGATAAGAAAACATTCAACATTTTCCTTACAGGTCTTTTTCTTACTTCAATAAGTAGAAACACCCGATCAATAGTTAGTAAAACCTTCTACGCAATCACTCTGTAGAGTAAGTTTAATTTGTTCTGTTTCTTATGTCTCTAGTAAGTGGAATTTAACCTTCCCTCACATTAACAGAGGTCTGCTTTTTAGTCTCTGATTCATTCTATCCTACTTCTTGAAGTTTAACTTATCAGGCATAAAATGCTTCACAGAATTTACCCCCGTAACCATTGCATTTTCTTTACTAGAATCAAGCACGAGGAGGAAAGTTCGTATTGTGGAAATCCCAACAGTCTGCTTCATCTACATGTGTATCGAGCAATTCTCGGAAGATCTGTGCTTAAAAGCAATTTCCTACATTGGTATTGACGGCCTATTTTCTTTCACGTGCACAAGAAAAGTTAATTCTCGGTCTATACACTGACTCGTCTAATTACCATACTTTAAAGACTTTATTAATTGCTGAACGTACTTTAATCAGTTGCTTAACATCAAGACTAATAGAGCTTAGGAATTTTACTACACTCTTTAAGACTTTCATCATCTGCTCTAACAATTTTAGGTATTCGAGTTAGCTGCTTCATCTAGTGACGCTTGGTATTCTAAAAGGCGATAAATAATTTCCTCTTCACTTCCTCATCTTCCATAACAATGTAAAATACTTCCATTCTATTTCTTCAGTTCATTTACTTGAGTACTGGGTGTTTCATATAATGATAGTTATGAAAATAACCTTGTAGCAAACATATGCGAGCACGCACACGCAAACACATCGTTGAAATGACTATTATAATATCTACACTCTTTGTATAAAACAGGTTTCATAAAATTTTCTCTTCCGTTTACTATGTTGTCATAAATGTAACTTAGTACAAACGACGAATATAAAT